CTCGTACCCGTACCCGTACCCGTCCCCGTTCTCATTTTTAATTTAATACTCACTTTCAATTTAATTATATTAAAAAAATTTAATATTTTTTTATGTATGATTATTTATTATAATATAAGATAAAGAAATAACTTAATTATAATTATAATATAATAAAAAAATAATTTAAAAATATCATTTTTTTATAAAAAAATAAAAAATAAAAAAATTTGACAGGTACGGGTACGGGTATACCCGATACCCAACGAGGACGGGGATGAGGATGAAAATCTATACCCGACGGGTATGAGGAGGGGATGGGGATGAGTTTAACTCGCGGGGACGGGGACGGGTATCATGAAACCTGTACCCGCCTCGCCCCGTTGCCATCCCTAGTCCCATGAAGCAACTCAAGCCCCGTTTCTTGCCATTGGAGGACTTTGACGTGACAACATGAGTTGCTTGAAGAAGAGAGAGAGTTGCTTCCTCAAACAACCGTTCCTTACCTGATTTCAAACATATCATATTGAACATATTTGGGAACGTTTCAGAAATAATAATGATAAAAATTAATTTCGTATAATGTCTATGTATTTACTATTACTTTATTTTATTTTTAATATCAACTTATTGAGTATTTTTTCTCGTAATTTATTTTCTTTCATTGTAGTGCAATTATTCTTTTTAATAAAAATTTAAAATTGATTCATAAATGATTAGAAAAAAATTTTAAAAGTTGAATTTCTTAAAGTTTTTTACCATTGAAGTAAATTTGTGTTTGAGTTGCTTAATACTGACATGACACACTGGGGATCACTTTTTTCATTTTTCAATGTATGAAGCAACTCAAATGAGTTGCTTCCATTGGAGATGCCCTACGTATTACACTATTTAATAACTTTATATTAAATATAAATTTTGTAAATTTAACTGTTAAATTGAAAGTTCATATCATTTTATATGTTTATATCAAATTTTGTTAAAATTGAACAACTTGAAAGTAATCAAAGTCTTTATATTTTAATATATTTTGAAATGTATAAATTATGTCAATTTTGTCTTATAAGAATGAAATATCAAATTATCTTTGATTAATATAAAATTTTATATAATCCTGATTGATACCCGGGTTTAGCAGTAGGTAGCAATCACAAACTGGATAAAAATAAATGTATTTAGCCAGTTACTCTTTGGATAAAGAAAGATTGATGATTGGATAGCCAACTCACTGTGCCAATGTATCTCATTTATTGGCTAAATTCCTCACTCGTGCAAATATTTAAAGAATCCAACCATAGTGAAGGAAGATATTACGGTTCAACAGTTTTCAGCCCATAAAAATTGATAACTTTGTTAATAAAAATAAGTTTTGCTTCCTCCTGTCTCAAGATCCATGTCTGTATGCATTAAGCTCTCAATATTCTAAAACAAGGTTTATTTCTCAAATAAAAAATGAATTTAACCTTGATGATAGTACAACAGAAACACAGAAAAATTGTGTAACAATGCCCTATAAGCTTGAAACTGGCGTGTATCAATTCCCCTTGAAACTGAATGAATGACTAGTATATTAAGATTGAAAAGAAATCCTACCAGTAATCCCCACATGAACATTCTCCTCCTCTAAAATGATGAAAGCAATTTGAGTCCCTCAGTATGATATGACGAGTAAAAACTCCTGAGATATATTTCATAGCAGAATGACAATCTCCACAAACTCTCAGATTCTTAAAAATCCGAATTGGTGCACCAGGTGAAGAAGTGAGTAATCCGAAAGCAACAGCCAGTTTCTCACTGTGATAAGCAAGTCCAACCTCCTTTCCCTCTCTATCCATGTCATGCAAAGAAAAACTCATATCTGGAACATAACCAGCTTCCTTAATTCTTATTATGATTTCATCAATCTTGGAATAAATCTCAGCTTCCCTTGGATGTCCTCTATCTTCAGAAATGAATGTATGCACTCTGCTGTTTATCTCAATCCAACTGCACCCAGGCTCCTTGGTTATTCCTTTTGATTTCATCAACCTTCGTATTTTCGCAGCATCATCCCATTTTCGTGCTGCAGAATACATGTTAGACAACATAACATAAGGCATGGCATTCATGGGTTCCAACTCAAAGAGATTTGTAGCTGCCCTCTCTCCCAATTCTATATTACCATGCACTCTACACGAAGCAAGGAGTGACTTCCATACAGTTGCATCAGGTTTCACATCCATTTGATTCAGCATTTCTCGTGCCTCGTCGAGCTTTCCTGAGCGTCCAAAAAGATCAATCATGCAGGCGTAGTGTTCAGGACCAGGCTCTATTCCATAAATCCTTTTCATTTGGTTAAAATACGTGCGACCTTCATCCACAAGACCAGCATGACTACAAGCAAATAATAATCCTATAAATGTGATAAAATCTGGTTTTGTGCCACTTGAAACCATAGCATCATAGAATCTTAAGGAGTCTCTTCCCTTACCATTCTTTGCATATCCAACGATAAGAGCTGTCCAAGTAATTACATCCCGAATGTGCATTGAAATAAAAATGGAATCAGCATCATCCAGGCATCCACATTTTGCATACATGGTTACAAGAGAATTATCCACTGACAGTGATGATCTTAGACCTGATTTAATAAAATCTGAATGGACTTGTTTACCAAATTCTAGAAGAGTCAGTTCTGCACAGGCACTCAAAATGCTTGCAACAATAAATTGGTCTGGACTAACCCCTGCAATTCTCATGTCACAAAAAATCTTAAGAGATTCTTCATGTGAGCCATTTTGTGCGTAACCTGTGACAAGGGAGGTCCATGAGATGACATCTTTCTCAAGCATCTTTTCAAACACTGCATACGCGCAATTCAAGTCCCCAGTTTTGGCATACATATCAACCAGAGCATTGTTAACAAGCTTATAGTTCTCAAATCCAGTCTTGATTACCAAACAGTGAACAGATTTTGCATTAATACTACCCACTATGCAACAGTTCAGAATGGATGGAAATGTATAATCATCAATCTTCACACTTCTGGCATGCATTTTTTTAAACAAGAGAAGGGCTTCCTCTTCAAACCCATGTCTTACACACCCAACTATCATGGAGTTCCATGAAACCACGTCATCATTCTCCATATTTTCTAATACCCTTTTTGCACTACTTAAATCTCCACATTTTGCGTACATATCAACCAATGCAGTTTGAACATATACATTGCATCCAAAACCATTTCGTATGATGCAACCATGCACCTGTTCCCCGAAACAATGATCTGAAACGGCAGAACATGCAGTCAATATGCTAGGAAATGTAAACTGATTGGACTGAACCCCTTCTGAGTGCATGTAACGAAAAAACTCAATTGCCTTAAGGCCATCACCATTTTGAGCATAACCAGTAACCATGGCAGTCCACAGTACATGATTTCCCTTGTCAAAGGCCAACCCCTTGAAGAGAATCTCAGCTTCTGAAACGTGCCTGCACTTTGCATACATATCAACAAGGCCAGTGACAACATACACGTTGGATTCAAATCCATTCTTCACCACATACCCATGAAGCATTCCCCCATTTCGGATCAAACCCAATGCTGAACACACCCTCAGAATACTTCCTAAAGTGTACTGACTAAGTTTATGACCCTCCAACCTCATCCGCCTAAACAAATCAAACGCCTCAGCTTTACACCCAAATCTACAATACCCGGATATGAGGGAGGACCAAGTTATAGAACTTCTACTTGAAAACCCATCAAAAAGCTCTCTTGCTTCAACCAATCTCCCCACATTAACATAACCAGATATCATGGTGTTCCACGTATACTCATCCTTTTGAGGCATTTTGTCAAACACTTTTCGGGCATCGTCAATTCGGCCAGATTTTGACAACCCATTAAGGAGTTGATTGGAATGAAATATTGATCGATGGGAATCAGCAATGCTGGCGTGGATAGAACGAAGAAATGACATAAGGTTAAATGGGTGACATGGGTTGTAAGCAAAGGCCAGAACTTTTGAGTCCAACTTTTGCATAACCACTTGTTGAACCCTTCTTTCATCAGTGTCTTCATTCGACCGCAAGAGATTGCAGCAAAAGTTTAGCAGAAACAGGGGAAGATATCATTTATTAACAAAATTAGAATACAAAGACGCGTGCTTGGGTTTGTTTTTTTTGTTGGTAGAAGTGATTTTTTTTATAGTAATTATGTTCATAAAAACAAGAAATAAGAGTGTCGCTTAATATTTATAGTAATAATTTAATTTCAGTTCAAATAATAGTAACAATTATTTTCATAGCTCTAATTAATTTTAATGGTTGAGTTTAACTTGCTTTTATGCATGTAGTAGAAGTAAAAACTTGACACAATTATTTTTGGGGGAACCCATAAAAAAAACTCGACTATGTTTGGACTGAATTCATGTGACCAACTTTTATTTTATTTTATTTTATTTTTTTTACTTTTGATGTCTTGTGTTTGTGTGGGCTTAATGAAAGTAGAATAAGTAATGAATTATATTTTTGCACTTTATTTTTTCTATTCTTCGCCCCACTTTTATTTTTGTGTCAATTTTTCAATAATATCTTTAGGTAGAATTTTAATATTATAGTTTCGGAATTTCAATTTTCGAAAGTCAATTCTTTTTCATCCTTTGTTCTCTTTCCAACACTTATATGTAAAATGGCTATATTTGTCACGAGAGTGACAGTAAATTTGGCTTCTATCAAGCTTTTTTCTAATACCCTTTCCTCTATACATATCCTTCCTCGGAGGATTATGCACATGATTACGATCAAAATTGTTCATTTCTCAATGAAAGCAAATACAAATACAATGAAAGCATCATTCGAGAGTTCTATGCTAATGCCTTCCCTGTCCGACCTGATTGCAAGGAGAGAATCTCGTGGGTGAGAGGTAAAATCATTGCTTATGATCCAGAGGCCATCAACACCTTCTTGCAAACTGAGTATACCATCCCAGAAGAAGATGATTATAGGAAGCTCATGAAGACCGCAATGAATGAGGAGATGTCTACTTCGGTGCTTGAGACTTTGAGCCTTCCAGGTAGACAATATCAAACAGGCACGAAGAACCAACCCACCCACATTCTTCGAGCCGAATTGAAATCAGTTGTGCGTTTATGGCAGGCCGTCCTCTACAACAATGTCATCCCACTCACACACACTTCTGACATTACCATTTCCAGGGCAAAGTTGATTTTTTGTATATTGCTACAGAAGGATGTGGACATAGCTACCTTAATATCAAATGAAATTCATGCTATTGTCCTTTCTAAACCTTCTAAGTCTGGTGCTGTCAGACCCTTAGCTTTCCCTGGATTGATTACAGGCTTATGCAAAGCTAAAGGAGTGGTGATTCCTCAGCCGTTGGTCCCAATTAGGAGGAAGATAGATCATGTGTTTGTCAACGCTCGCTACTATAACCCACGAGAGTTTCCTTGGGCATCTCGCAGATCACGCCCACCACCTACCTATTCCCAATCTCCACCACAAGTTACCTCACCTCCAGTTCCGCCAACTGGTCCCTTCGATTTGTCTACCATGTAGGCTTGTATGGTGCAACACTTTCAGCACATGGAGGAGCAACACCAATTAGAAATGACTCATCTTCGTCATGTGCAACTTCAACAAGCCGCTAATCATAGAGGGCAATTGGCTTTGCACTCCTATTTTTACCACTACACTTTAAATCAGGCCAATACCGGTGGAAGCTTATATCCTTGGCCTACACCGGAGCAATTTCAAGATGCTATTCTTTGGCCTGGGGACGGTCCTGTCTTTTCAGGAGGAGGTGGTGAGCCTGAGCAGCCTCATGTAGGTGAACAAGGACAGAGGTTTGATGCTGAAGTTGAAGAAGAAGGAATTGATGGAGGAGAGGACAATGAAGAAGGAGTTGAGGATGAAGGGTCACTGTCACCCACTTTCTGAGCCCATTTTCTGAGGAAGCAGAGTTTTACTTTAAATTCATGCAATTTTAAATTTCTGTCAATTTAAATTTCAGCCATTGAAATTTCTGTTAATTGTTTAAACTGTTTGGTGATTTGCTTATTTTGGGATTAGATGCTTAAACTTCTGGTGTTTTGGTTGAATGTCATACTTGGTGGTGCAATTGCTAATGTTTGAATTTGGGATACTAATTGTTTGGAGTCTGCACCTTAGTTACTCTAAGAGCAGTAGTGTAAATACAAAAAACAAAAAACAAAAAAAAAATGTAAATAGATATATAATTATATATATAGATATTTTTTTGGGAAACATTGAAAATTATTCTTGAGAGGCAGTAAATGAGTTGACTTTTAGATCAACAAAAAGGAAAAATAAATCTTTTAATTCACTTAAGAATGGTTTGTTTTGCGGCTTGTTTTAAGGTTGCACTCATCCAACTTTGTTTGATCATGAAATTGTGAGTTATTTGATTAGCATGGCATGAAAGATTAATAATTGAACATTTAGCCAAGCTGGTGAATGAGAGAGACTAAACAGTGCATATATCATATATATTTCCACTTTTGAGAGCCATCATCATGGTATATGTGTTTGCATTGGTTGAATCTTGAATGATTGCTCTTGTGAGAAGTTTTGCACAGGATCAAGGCATTTTAGCCATTTCATTGTGCATAATTTAATTCTTTTTAAGCCTAGAGCCAAACAGCCAGCCATAATTGAATCCATCCTTTAAAACCAGTTTGAGCCTTAACCTTCAAATCACCTTAAACCTTTCCCAAATACCAACTCATCACCCTGACCAAACTCTTGAGAGTAAATGAAAATGAATTGGGAATTAAGTTGGGGTAGTTGGTAAGAATTGCCAAGTTGAGAGAAAGTGGTGAAATTAAGCTAATGCAAGTTGAAGGGAAGAGTCACCCCTCCATCATTTTTCTCTTCTTAAAATCAAGTGTGCTTGTTAGTTTCATTCTACCATTATCATGTATTCAAAAAAAAAATCAAAAAAAAAAAAGAGACAAGTGATGGACATTACTCCCGCATACAGCTGTCTCCTCGGCCGACCTTGGATTCAGGATGCGAAAGCTGTTCCTTCTACGCTCCACCAGAAAGTCAAGTTCATAATGGGTGACAAGCTGGTGACCGTGCAAGCTGAAGATGACATACTCATCAGCAAGCCATCCACCATACCTTA